GGAAGTAGTAAATCCTTATCGCAATCTTTAGATATTCTTTTGTCATTTTTATGGTATCAAATAAATCAATTAATTAATCCTTTTTTGTAATTAATGTATGTGGTTAATAAGAAATATTGTAATTTTTTTAGATTAATTAATTTCTAGGATATAATGAAAATTAATATTTCTAAAAATTCCTTAATAAGTTTTTCTTATTATTCAACGGAAAATGTATTCTTATTGTATTAAATTTATTGACACTTCTTCATGCACAAAAATTAGTCAGACCATTATTTAATTAGTTGGTTCAAATTTGGTATTTTAGAATAATCATCAAAGTAATTGTTAAATGTGATAGAAAAAAAACTATTAAAATCTACTCAATTGCTTGAAACTAAAACTATTCATTTTAAAATGTATTTCTTTGATTTCTAATCTATCTTAGGGTTATTTAACTTGCATTAAAATATTAAAACTACGTCATCCTGAATTGACACTACCTGACATCAAAATGAAACCTAAGAGTGTTAGTAAATAGATTTAAAAGTCCTTATAAGAAAATATACTAATCAATTTCTTCAAACAATATGTTAATTCGTTAGGTGAAAAAGTTAAGATTTAAGTTGATGCTCCTTGCTGGATATATTTAATAGATGTGGCATTGTTGTTTCAACTTGCTAAAATAGCATTTGAACTATTAGGTTCAGTTTATTTCAGAGGCAACAACTTAACTGGTAAGAAATAGGCCAAAAAGGAAATTATGATTTCTAAAGGATGGAAACCGATATTCATTTCACACTAGGAATATTACAAAAAAAAAATAGTTAATTTATATATGAAGGAAACTTAAAGAAAAATAATATAGATCATAATTGTTTTATTATATATTGTTCATTATATTTTTCATTTTTCATCCAAGCTAATGATAGATAAATATTTATTGTTTTATTTGTTAAATATCTTATTATTCTATTAACCATAATCAACAGGTTATTGATTATCATTATCTTAGTCGCTCTTAACTTGTATCTGGGAAATATGCTCATTAATTTTCTCTTTTTTTATCATTGGATCTGCTGATACAGTTTCTTATTATATTTTGTTATCTGTTTACTAACGTTCTCCAGCAGAAGATAATTGTCCAATATTTTCATCTGATAAATGTACTTTCTATTTTTTTCTATGGTGAATATAGCATTTATAACAGCATATCCAGTTTATAAGTAATATTAGACAAACAACTATCAATGCATAGAAGATATAAGGATTAGAAATGGGACTCTCAGAGAGAGGATTAGATGTCAAATGACATTAACTATCCTTCAAATAATAACCAGCAATGCAAGAACTACATACATTTGGGAGTGAGCAAACGCATTCATTTGGACATTCAGGATCACATAATTTAGTCTTTGAATTTCTTTAATATCCTAGAGGACATGACACTTCAGTACAGGAACTACTTGAATTTAATTCGTAACCATTTACACAAGATTAACAGACCAAAGGAACTTCACATTAATTACAATAGAGACCACAATCCATTATGCATTAATTATCCAAAGATAGATAATAACCATATGAGCATCTATAACAATTTAATGGGGATTAGCAAATGTTACATTCCTTTCCACATAATTGAGGAGTAGTGATAAATTACTCTTGTCCTTATTTATTGTAGTATTAGATTTGAATACTATCTCCCAAAATAGATCCATCAACATCTAAACTTTTTGATATGTATGTAATCGCAAATTTATCATCATTCATTATTTGAATGTTAGGATTTTATGGATATTTTCCTGAAATCGCTACTTTTATAATCTAAGTTAATTAGACACCCAAAGAATCAAATATTTAGAATTGAATTCCATTTGGTTAATACTATGAATCTGTAGTTTACCAGGCTACTATGAATCCATCTTTGAATAATTTTAAATCTGGTGTTTATTCTTTAATCTAAGAACTTCCTATTACCTTAACTTCACTTTTTTAAGATAAATCTTTAGAAATTAATTAATAGTTAAGACTGAATAAGGCTTTATAAGTTTATATATTCTTGCTTTCCCACAAGAATACAAACATTCCATTTTTTAAATAAGCTGTTCTAAGTGCAAATGTTCCATCATCACTAATGGCCTAAGGTTAATTAACTGGATTTCCAAATTAGGTGATTTATTAGACAAACATATATCCATTGCTTGTGTAGCTAATATATATCATTCCTTAGTCATCTTCTGTAATTGATGGAGCTACTAAATAACTTACATTAGGAATCTCTTAAATTGAATTGATACCTTAGAGATTAGGATCAATTAATTAGTATTTAAAGTTGTAATTTGATTGGTCTTCAGGGCTTTGAGTCATGAATGATACAACCATGTTTTTATTTGATAGAGTTAATAATTAACAAGGTTGAGTCAGTGATGATACAACATTGTTATTAGATACTCCAATTGACTAAGCAGATGTTAATTTAGTACCAGTAGAATCGAATTCTTGTAATAGGAAATTAGTCTAATCTGAAGTAGAATCAGCCCAAACAACATAAAAGTTATAGTCAACAGCTGCTAAATGAGCATAATATTATTTCTTTATTGAGGAATCCACTAGTAGTCTTCTTGTATAATCTGATACTATGATTTCAGCTCCTAATTTAGAATTATTGGCAGAGTATAATTAGAAATATACTCCTGCTTTCTCACCATTTTAATACCACACAAGAACATAAGATCCATCTGGGAATGTATATCTTATTGGTGTACTAACACTTGTATTTTTGACTTAATCAACAACAGTTTAGTCTTCAAATTTACATTTAGCATCTGCTGTCAAGACAAAACCTTCAGGACAACTTGTACAGTTGAATGGTAAGTCACAAGTTCTGCAACTGGATGGACATTAAGGTAAACATTCAAGTTGATTCAAATAGTAATTGTCTTGGCATTAATAACATACTAAATTATTTGATTCCTTATAACATTTATCACAATTATTTGGACACTTAAATTTGATGCATTGATCATTAATTAATTCATAACCAGTTTAACAAATCTCACATTTAGCAACAACTGAACACTTATTGCAATTTGAGGGGCATTATAAGATACATTATGAATTAGCATCTAAATTGTAATTAGTACTACATTTTGTACAATAACTTTCATTTATGCATTCATCACAATATTACATGCACTTGATATTTTAACCATTAGTAATTTCATTACCGTATTCATCATACTCCTTAAATAATATCATATTGGAGCATTGTACTTCTAAACATATCCATTTCTACCAATATACCTTTAAACTGTTTTCAAATGAAATAATCTTATTAAACATTTATGCATTTAATAAGTCAATAAATATTTGTGAATTCAGTTTACTACCAGAATTTTCAAAGTATTAAATAACCAATTAGACCATCATATCATTATAAGTATTGTATTACTTAATTACGATGGCAAACGAATTCTAAAATGTGACAATTTTAATAAATTATTGTCGCATCAAACTACTCTCCGATACTTTCATTTCTTAAGTTAAAGGTATATATTAGTTGTTTAATAATCTGTAATAGATAGAGTAACCTCCTTTAAAATCAAAATCATATTAGAAATCTGCACTTGTAAAAAATTAGATTAAATTGCCATTTGATAACTCAAACACGTCACAGGATTATTATTATAAAACTTAAGAAAATGGGCAACTCTTCCAAATCAATTAATTACCAATAAATAGAGCAGTTTCACCTTATGAATAAAATCTAAATTTATTATTTTCTTTTAATGCAGGGCCTACATCATTTTATTCGAGAATTTATTATGCAAATCCCAATGGATTTAATTCAGAATCCAAAATTAACCTAAAAATTCTTGTCGTTATGATTTAATCCCAAGTAACATGACAGTAAGTTAGAGAATATTAATTATTTACCTATGCCTCTAAAATCACACAATCTTTACTTAAAAACACATCTAAACTGATCTTACTAAGATCTATAACTTTATTTAAGATCACTTATTAATTTTAACCGATTCTTATTACTTCAATAAATTCTTATGCATAACTAATTCCTAAATAGTCCTACTCAATTTATTGGAAAGAGATTAGCGATTAGAAAATGATTGATCTCTCTATTGTTACTTTCATAGTCTATATTTATTAAGATATGATATAAAAATTCCAGTAATAAATGCTTTAGCCTTATGGATGATATAGTGTGAAAAAGCAAATATTTCCATCATTTAAACCGACAAGTTCATTAATATCTCCCTCAATTTCTTAAATAATTTGAGGTTTATGATAGTTCGGCTTAAGAGGAGCACATACTCCTAATGTTTCTTCATAATATCCATCCCTACATAAATAACAAACTGATGGAATGATACAAATCACACAACTCTCTTAACAAATTGCTAAACAGGCCCCATCATGTAATTAATAGTTTTCAGGACATTAGGTACACATATTATTACTGCCACATTACCTGCAATTGTTAAAACAATAGTTTACTATTTTAGTTAAATATTCTCCTTATGCACTCATTTTTTAAATATGAATATTTGAAGAGTCAATTTTATTTATAAGATTATAATTAACCCAGATCACAAAAAATGATTGATCTACTGATTCAATTATTTTCATGAAGTTTAAATCTTACCAACTATCTTTGATTATATATTTATTCATAAATTGAACCTCCATATTCTGATTAAGAAAATACTGTTCTTAAGTTGCAGATACAATGTCTTTAACAATTTCAATTATTATCGAAAGTCCTCCTTTATATTGATCTACTTGAATATAAGAAATTTATTAGTAATTATGATCTAGCTATTAGGCGAACTATTTGATCAATTTTTTATTTTCAAGTAAAGGAATAAAATTTTGATCATAAAATTGAGCATAAATTAATACATTAGAATTTTCATATATAGAAAATACAATGATAAAATATTATGAGGTACTACTTAAGCAAAGTGGATTGTTAAATTAAGGTGATAATCCTTATGACACGATAAATGATCCCTCGAATGTAAAAACATTTACTTATCTTCTAAAAATAACAGCAACATTTAAATCAGCGGATGAAATCTAGAATAATTGATCATCATCAAATTCACCTTAAACTTCTTATGAATTTACTTGCTAATTATCTGAATTATAGAACTTTAATTTCAATACTTTATGCTGTGGTTCTCCACTTAATGTTATATATCCAATTACATATCCTCCATTCTTCAATTTAATCACTTTTGCAATGTTATTCTAAGTATTGATATTAAACTTATCTAATTTAATGACATCTATGTCAATATCATCACCAATTCGTTATTAATTTTTAGTGAATCTGGCAATCTTCAGTAAAGCTCCTTATTCGAGATTACCATCAATATATAAGATAATAGCAGTATCATCATTTAATATTGAAATTTAAGCAGAATGTTGGTTTCCTTGAGTAATTTAATTCACTTAAAAGTTATTTCCTATCTTTTCTCTCTAACTATCTAATACCTAACCATAAACACCCCAATTAAATCCATCTTAATAATTACTAATCCAAACTGCCATTATGGAACCATCGCTAAATCCAGCTATTGAAGGTTTAGTTTGAACGAATTAGGTAAATTCATTAAGAACTAATGACTTAGATTAGAATTCATCAACCACACATTTTTATTCGTAAGGATAACGATTATCAGAACATTAAATACAGTAATTGCCTATAGAAATAAAGCAACTTTAATCAACCTATTATTCACAATACATATCGTTTTTTAATTTATTGTATTAAAGTTAGTAACTTGCTTCACATTTTGTACATTCAGTATTGCTTAAGCATGAAGCACAATTAGGTGAACAAGTATTAATTATTACTTTATTTAAATCCCCAGTATTGCTAAGTATTGATAATTATAATCCCCATTTTGCTTCATTATTTTTATATTCCCATGCAAATCCTATTTACTAATTAGAGAAGGTAACTAACAATGGTCTACTAATTTATGAATCAATTTAAATTGTTTCTGAAAATATTGTTTCTCCAACATCATTCAAAATTTTATAAACCAGTTTCTAGTTTAATTTATCACAATATGAAATAACAACTTTATTTGAGAATATGGCAAATGAAAAATCTTAGAATCTAGATACCTTTTATTAGTAACTATTGAAGCATATGGAAATGTCAATACAGGTTTTAAATACCCAATTTTCTTTTCCACTTATTTTGTACATTAATGCAATTAAATCATTACTCTTATCAAGCTTTATTTAAGTGATATTCGGAACATCCACATTATAAGTCTAGACTAAACCTCCATAGTCATCTAGTATCATTATTTTTGCATAAAATAAATTGACATTTATTAAATAAATCATATTACCTAATACTTTAAATCCTTTAATGATATTTTTATTACAATCATCAATTGTAAAGATATCAGGATTATTAACATCTATTTTTTCAAAGACCTTTAGATTTGATGGATCATAAACAAATAATGATTAAGATTGTCCAATTTAAGAGACTCCATCAAATACATAATTCTTTAAACAAGTAATGAAAATAAGATAATTTAGTTTAAAACTTTCAATTTTAATATCCTAAGTATCTAACTCACAACTCTGATCCAATTATGGTATCAATTAATTTGTAATTTCATCTAATTTATATACCTTACTAATTTTTTTATCTGAATCATAAACTATAATCATGTAGATTAGATCATTTAATATAGTTGCATCAAAAAGATAAATATTTTCAATAGTTATTTCAACAAATTTTATTTCTTCCCCAGAAGAATTGAATTTTCTGATTCTCAAAACATTCTAACAAATATATAGCATTGCATAATCATTGTTAGAGTATTTCATAAGATCTTTAATTGGCTCTTAAATACATTTATCGACAATTTCAATACCTTTTCCATCTCTAATAGGGTTTTTTGTTATTTATTAAGGCTGATCTGGATCTGGCAGATCATTTTCTCTATCAAATATTAACTCTTTTAAATTATTGGTGCATGTATCACCATCACATTCATATTTTTACATTAATATTTTGAATCCATTTTAATATTAAATAATTTCCAGAAAACCTTAATTTAATAAACAAATATATATTTAATCTCCTATTTTTCTACCAGTATTATATATAAATTAAGCTATCAAATATCTTTGCCCCTAAAATTGATCTTAGCTGTCTTATGAAAAGAATGTGACAAATGAGTTGATATAATTTAATACTTTAAAAATTGTTTATCCATTAAAACCTTAATTAGAAACACTTATCTTTTTCATAATAATTTCTCCTAATCCATCGACGAGTTGATACTAAACTTTCGTAATCATTTAACTGTCAAATAATTAGTTCTATCTCCAGCCATAAAGTAGTTGAATTTCGTTCCAGTTTTCTAATGAGGGTAAACTACATGCATCAACGTCGTATATTCCAGAATTATGACAAAATTTTTCTTCTATTTTATCTTTTGTTATTTTATATTGCTATCCATATTGATTTCTCAATAAAAAATACCCTTATCTTTAAATAATTATAGGCCTAAATCTTTCTATTTCTGTAAAAATAATCTAGGTATTTCTCTACTTTTTATAAACCTAAATCTAATTTAGCATAATAAAAAGTAACTTAGCTGTAAACGAAATATGAATTGAATATTTATGTTCCTACATAAAATGTAATAATATATTAGAAACCCTGTATTGGTTCTAACAAAATGTACTCAGATGGCCTTAACAAAATATTATCATATGAAATCTAAATTTCTGAAAACTATTAAAAATCTAAATAATCTGAACTAATTAAATTTGAACTTAAATCATATCTTTGTACTTATATCTCATTTTCAAAATAGTAGATAAATATGACATTTTCATCCTCATAATATGTGAACATCTATCTATACTGTTGTTATTTTTAATAATTAATAGAATAACTGTTTATTACTTAATCTCCAAGTATCACTTTCAAATTTAATTAATAACTGAAAAAAGAAAAAAAGACCTTTTAATTCTCATTTACAGTTTTTAGTTAATTTATAGAGTCACCCATTTCATATTCAATTAATACTTAAGGTTAATAAATAGGGAGTTCAGAGCATTTTCCTTCTTCAAATAAATAGTAACCATTTTAGCATTAAGTGCAATAATATGGATAATAACACTTAGCACAACCTATTTCACAAATAGGGTCGCATCGATTTTCATTGTAGGAATAATGATCAAAACATTAATCACAATGAGTTTAATCTTAACATTTTTAACAATTCAATTGACAAACAATCTATTCTTTTACAATTATTGAGAAATCATAAGATAAAAGCTAGAAATAAAGGTGATGTTTATCTAAATCAATAACTTTATTGTCCTTTATCCATAAAATAAAGTATTACTTATTCAAGGATGGAATGATCTTAAAGTATCTATTTTTCAACATCATTCTCGTTGATTACAGAGATGCATCTATATAAAACTTATTAAATAAAGAAAATTATTAGTCCTTTATGATGTAAAGCTCTTAAATTTCCTGCTGATTCTCTCTAAAATGAATCTAAAAGAGTAACCCTTCATCATATTCATTCATCTAAATACTTGGTTCTTAATTATCAAAATATTTAATAATTAAAGGATCTCCTAATTATTCGAATTGTTTATCAAATAAATATACTTAAGCACTACGCTTCTAGAAAAATGATAAATATCCTAATGCATATAACCCATTTGTCGACTCCAGAACCAGCTATTCGTCAGGTTGCTATATAAAATAAAGCATTTATTTTTTTTTTAATAAATTTCCATCTAATGAATACAAATTAACTGAAAATCCAAATTACTAATCTCGATATAATAAAGCAATGTTGATGTCATTGGCAGCTAAAAGAAGAGTGAATTAAAATAAGTTTTAATATCCTTCAATTGATTACTAAACTACCAAATTGCTTAATGAATCATAGAAATTTAGATAGATATAATGTCTAATTTCATTTTTCTGTGTTAGGTATCCAATAAGAAATCCTCCATTTTTTAAGCTTAACAATTCCCATTATGTTAAGTCATTAAAATTTTCCTATTAATACTGGATTGTACCAACTTAAAATTCATCTCCAATTCTTTGCATTTACTTATTAAATTTTTAAGCCTTTATAATTGCTTCATTCATTTAAGGATCTCCATCAACATAAATTATTACAACAGTATCATCCTATAATACTGCTACCTTTGGAGAATGCTCAATGCCTTGAGATTCAGCATTAATTTATATATTGTCTCCAATTTTAACACCAGTATTATCAATTAATTAACCAAACACTCCCCAGTCATTGCTATCTTAAAAATAACTTGCCCAAACTACAATGATTGATCCATCACTAAATTTTGCCCCCTCTTATTTTATCAAACCTTTTGATGTTTGCTAATTAATTCGAATTGCTTTAGCTTATATTTCATTTAAATTGCATGAATCATTTTATAAATAATATTAATCTTTGCAAACCTAACATATTCCCATTTAATCATAATAAAAGCAATTAGTCTTAAAACAATATTTTTCATTGCCATTGTCTTTGAGAATAAATCCAGTTTAACATTATGTACATTATTTCTCAGAAAGGCATTCTTAACAATTTTCAGAACATTAAATCTCAATTTTATCAACAAATTACCCACTTTAGTTCATTACAGCATAAGACATTCCCCATTGACCATTTTAATTTAGAACAGTCCAAGTAAATCCAACAAATCCTTTCATCAAAACAACTATTTAAGTACTATTTATCTCAGCATCACTTGATATAACTCCTGTTGAAAGCTCATTTCCTTATAAATCTATGAACTAAAATGAGGAACTTTTAAGGTTATCATTTTAAGTCCATTATATGAAAAGGTTGTTAGCCACGATAGCCATTTAAACATCTGAATTTCCAGGAATAAAATCAATTTTAATAAAAATGATTATCAATATCTTATTGCAAATTCTTAAACTCCAATCTTATGCATCATATGTCTTATAAATAAAAATAATAGTTTCTTTGTTAATCTCAAATTTAATTTTTTGAATGCTAGGAATATCTAATGCATATGCCTATTGAACAATTCCAAAAGAATCTAAAGATATTAATTGTCCACCTGTTTAACTTATTGATAATGTATATATGGTATTGTCAACAATTTTAATTTCAGTTACTTTGTTTTAATTACAAGTATTCTAAGTAATTCCATCAGGATAGTTGAAATCTAATTTATTAGCTGTTTGTGAAAAACCAAAATCAAAAATGGCTAATGTTTGAGATTGACAATTAATAAATGTTTAGTCAATTTCAACTTATTTATCATTAGAGATTAAAATTACAAAATTTTGAGTCATTGGCTGAAGTTAAATACTATGAATAATAGATTCCTATGTTATCTCTTATTTATAATTTAAAGTTTAGAAACTATTATCGATTTAAAAAAGTTGATATTTATTAGGTCTGTTAACAAAAACAAAGGCTAAAATAATTTGATCTTAAAATAAGATGGTATCTAAAATAAACACAATTTCAATAGTTATGGTAATACTCTAAATTTCTATTCCATCTTTATTAAATAATCTGGCGCTAAATATGTCATTGCAAATATAAATAATAGCATATCTATTATCTACAAAATTAATTAGTTTATTTTGCAATTATAAATTACATTTATCTCCAACCGGATGTTAAATAGTTCCAATATTAATTGGGCTTTTAGGATCAGTAGGGTCTGTAGGATCTGTTGGACCTGTTGGATCAGTTGGATCAGTAGGGTCTGTTGGATCAGTAGGATCAGTAGGATCAGTTGGATCTGTAGGATCTGTTGGATCAGTTGGATCAGTTGGATCAGTAGGATCAGTAGGATCTGTGATATCAATCGGGTCTATAGGATCAATGGGATCTGCGGGGCTATTGGGATCTTTCACTTCTTCTTAATAATTTGGATCATAAGCATCTTTAGGGTCAGTAGATTGTTGAATTATCTCACATTATCCGAATTCATTAAATTAGAATCCTTATTAGCATTAGTCACACTCACTAAACTTGCATATGCTGCATTAAAATTAGAAACAGACTTTTTCACAAAGCTAAGTCTCAAAATTTTTTTGGAATCCAAAACTGCAAATATCACATACAGAAGGTGTTTCACATTATCCACAACCCTCAGGGCAAATAATTTCACTTACAGACCTTGAAAATCCTAACTAATCGAATCTTGCAAAATTTAATTTCCAATTATATAGTAAGCTTCCTGCGTGAAAAAAGACAATAAAATTATTGTTTTACAGCTTAGTTAACCAACTATTTTGTAATGGTATTTCAGAATTATTCATATTAACTTAAACAGAGTTTTTAAGTAGTCCTTACATTGAAAAATAATATAAATGATACGATTTTGAATTCTTTTAGTACGAAAGGATGACAATTTCATTTATATCGCTTAAGGCTATGTTGATTGGATATAAACTTGATCCAGTTATATTATATGATTGCCTGATTAAACCTTAAGCAAAGATATTGATTTAATTGTTAGTAACTATGATGAATTATTTAGGAACATTTGATGCCAATTTAATTAATCCTCCATCATTAATAATTTGATGTTGAACTAATTTTAATTACATATCAAAGATGTTAAGAATGCTAATTGTATCTTTAATGTAAGCAAAAGCAATTAACTCTCCATTAGATGTGAAATCGAAATTATCACTAAAAGGTAATTTGATGTCAGCAACAAATTCAAAGTTTAATTTCATTATTTAAAGATAGATATCAAATCTACTCTTAATTATTATTGCATATTATCCACTATTCAGAATCTTGGCTTTAATAGATGTTATTTTTTTTTATTATAATCCAGAATAAAATAAAATGGCTTCTGTCAGTTTATTAAATGTTTAATCAAACTATTAATAGTAATACATATTCTTATCTGAATATGTCAAGGGTAATACAGAATAAAATACTGTAAGTAAGTTATTATCATCAATAATTATAGATATGTCATTGATCCTATAAATATCTATAAGGTTTATGATTTTTAGTTTTTGGATCTAAACAGTTGCGTCACTAAGATAATAATTTAGCTCAATAATTTTATCCTCTTTAAAACCCACAACCACAAAGTTGCCATTTGAGTATGTAGCAATCTAATAGATATAGTAGTAGTTATAATAGCTTTGATAATCCAAAGGAATGGTTTTTTCAACTTCTTGATTTATTTTCTCACAAGTAAGATATTAGGTTTTATAATAACCATCAAGACAATCCTGACAATTAGGTTTAAAATTAACACAATTTTCTGGTTTTTTTATACATTTTCCATCTACTTATAACATAAATAAATCAGGGTTTGTACATTTGAAGCAAAATCCTTAATAATTACACTCTTAACAAGCATAGCCGCACCTCAACTAAGATAAATATATTCTACTGCCATTTTCATTGAATTTATATGAGATTATCATTTAGGTGTCTGCCAAAATGTTGTAAAACATTATACTAATTAATATATCATGATTTTGTAATTCAACCACTTCAAGTCTACCTAATGATTTCGTGTAAGCGTTATCTTATTTGATTTCTATTTTTTCCCCTATTATAAATTAAAACTGTTTTTATATTAGCACTCCTTTATAGGCAGTATTCAAATTCATATCTGAAAACTCTGAACCTTCCCTCCAAGTTATCAATATTGAATCTGAAAGTACATTAAGTTATAAATCTAGTTTATAAATTTCACTTCCAGTTGAGATTTTCTAAGGATTGGTTGAGATAATTCCATCTTTTTATGTAATTTAAAAAAAAACTTCATATTTAGATGATTCTATGGTTGTCCAAGCAATTAGATTGCTGTCCGAATTTAATGAAATCATTTTAAATTCTATTTAGTTTTGGGATTTCTTGACAGTATTTTAATTTAGCATCACCCCTAAGATGTCAAAACTACTCAATAAATAACTATAATAAAGATTATTCTTATTTAAGATTTTAATTTCATTATCAATTAATTAAATGTCAAAGTATTCAGAGTTCTTAAATTATGAATAAGTTAGTAATTAAATTGTTTAAGTGGGTGAGAAACTAATTTTGAATAAGCTATCCAAAAATAATGGAATAATAACCAATTATAAAATTGGAACATCCTATATCATCACCATTTGAATCACTCCTAATTTCATATCTTCCAATTACACTAATTTAACTAAGTTGTCCGAGTACTTTTAAATTATTAGAGAATTAACATTTCCTGTTTAAGAGGAAATTGCAGCATTTGATATACATTTCTCATTCATATCGAAAATATTTAAATATGTTGTCTAAAAATCATACTAATTTTAGAAAACCTTAAAGGAAATTACAAATAGATCCTCCTTTAAGTACAATGACAAAACATCAAAGTAATATCTGCAATCTGTACAGGAAGTTGTGGTTTATAGTACTTTAGGATTGGAATATCTTTTACCAAATTTATCAAACCTTTGAGTTATTATTTTATATTCTCCCATCCAAAAGTATAAAACATCACCATTTGAAAAAGTTAATACTTTGAAAATATTTAAAAAAGCTTTATCATTTACAAATTCTATGATCTATTCATTAGGAATATGAAGAATTGATTAACAATTATTTTTGATCAATTCAAAACCATTTGAACATTAACTACAAGTTAGAGTTTAATTTTCAATTGAATGTGCTTCACAATTATTAATTTTTAGATAACACGAATTAGATAATAGAATATAATTTTATTTACAACTTTAGCAAATATTACTAGTTGAACAAGTCTAGCAATTGTTTTAGCAAATGATTGTATTTAATGCTAATTAAGTGCCATCGTTCTTATATCTTTTCATATAGACATCATCACTTAAAATTTACGAGATTAAACTACTGACTGTCCATGAAGCTATGAAATTACCTTATGGTTAACTTGCTAATTAGGGATGATGTGGGTATAAGTTAGAAACAGAATAAATAATAACTGGTTGAGATTTTGTTGAACCATCTAAATTAAACAATTACATTTATATAGTTCTGACTTTATCATCTAATACAGAAACACTTTCAGCAATAATAGCAAATCCATTTTCAATTGATATTACATCAGGATTATCTAGATTTTCTTATGAAACTCCAAAATGACTCTAAACTTGATATTGATTTAAATCTGCTGAGACTTATCTGAATCTTATTTTCTAACTCATAAAATCATTCTCATCAATGACATATTCTTTCCAAGCTATAATTATGGAGTTATCTATAGAAACTATTGCAGGAGATTCTCCTGTTGTTGATAATTATACTTTATCTATCAACACTTGATTTACACTATATGAACTAGCAAAAACACCTTTATTTGTTTACCAAGATATCACAATAATAGATTAAGTTGATGCAACAACAGGTTCATTTATTATTTATTCATTTTCAGTGACAATTTAAGTATTAAGTACATTATTATCATTGTCAAAGAATTTAGCTATCAATGATATTTATTTCTGATTTCCTTATTCTGCCCAAACTATAACAAACCCATTAATAATTGATTAAATGATTACTGGAGTATCATATGATTAAGCATAATAAAGATGTATATCTGTTTATACGATAGTTTCACTACCAATTCTTAAGAAATCTTTATCAAATCTTAACATCTTGATATTAGCATTTACTAATATATTGCCATCTATCCAAACAACAACTATCTAATCATTGCTCATCACTTAAACATCAGGATATTATTGAATTCCTGCTGATGATTCAGATATTCTCATTTGTTCTTTTAATAACACACCCTGAGAATTATATAATGACATGTAAATTCCCAGTTCCTTCATTCTGATAAAATTGTGTTGACCATACAATAACATAATCTCCATTAGATAATGTAGAAATTCTCTATCTACTTTAAGCTGGATAGACGCTCATTTTAATTTCTTTATATTTTGAATCACTAATCTAACATTTATAATCTGATGTGACAGAGTATCCAACAGCACATTAAGAGCATCGACCATAATTACCATTTGTACAATAATCTGGTAATTTCAATGCACATTTATTATTTTGTAATGTAAATCCTTATTTGCAAATTACACATAGATTCTTATTATTACAATAGAAGCAATTTGTTTCGCAATTATCTTGATATAAGTATGTTCCTTTACTTTGAATAAAGAATATATAATTGACATTATTCATTACTCCTTAGAATACAACATATGATTAATAATTTCTTGGATCTACATAGGTTAATAATTTTGTATTTGATTAATACTAACTTAAGATATTTAATGGAGATGTCAACATTTCTTAAGATGATCCATATTTTAGGAAGGACAAGGAAGCAAAAGATACTCGTATTCTTTATTGCTCTCCCTTTTCGATTTATATGTATGTTAATTATATATGTTAAGTAGGGATGTAATTAAGATACAAACTCTTAATTGTGATGTATGAGTTTATAGCTATTCTCTTAGTTGCTTATTGATTTAACTATCTATCAAAATATTATATATAGGCATAATAACTCCGTATTCCTAATAAGTTAATTTAACTTTCTATCCAACCAATAGCTAAACCACTACTGTCAATGTTATCTGAAGAAATGGATTCAATCTGGTTTGTGCTCTAATAGAGTTGTTTGTATTTTGTAGTTGTACTATCGATAGTTAATGAGTTTATTATATTATTATTTTTGATATAGATTATTTGATAGGATGAGGTCTAGATCAATAATTATGGATTGATGGAGATATCATCTTAATTTTCATTAATATTTTATTTTATCTGAAACCCACTTCCAGTATTATAAATTCCAACGTATGTTTAGGAAAGAGAGTTCTCATCAATTTCAGTCCAAACTATCACAAAGTTAGAATTAAATATTTTGATCTGAATTTCAAACTCATCAATATTTAGAACTTTAATTAATCTCAATTCAATAGGATTTGTTATAACAATAAAACTGCTTTGGAATAATTGTAGCATCATTCTACATGAAACTTTACAATTACCACTTAACCAGATAAGTGCAAACTTTTTAGATTCGTATTCATAAATTCTATGATAAGCAATTGGTGTTTCTGAAGAAATCAATTATTTAGTGGTAATAACACTAGATTCTTATTAATATATATTCGAATCTAAACTATGTTATGAATTCTTATATTTATAAAAGGTTGTTATCATGGAATTATCACTAAAACTTAATATTGATCCAATTCCATTGCAAGTTTATTGGCAAAATGGAATTTCCAATTGATACTGAGTGACATTTAAGCATTTATTGTCAACGAACTTAAAATCATTGTTACAGTAATCGCATGTATATGGTTATGTGCATTTTTAACAGTTATCTAAGCAAATGGGGGAGCATTTTAATTTTTGTTCATTATATATATAACCATCTAAGCATTAAGTACACATAATTTCATTATTATTATTGGAACAATCTCCACAATGAGAAACACAGATTTCTTCATCAAATGGGATAGCTTATAATTTTTAATTCAATCTTAATTTGTATGATTTGCTATATTTTTGAGTACTCCAAGTTATATAGAGGAATTCATTTTATTAATTATTTCCACTTAAAAAATCAATAGATTGTTCATTTGAACTTATTTGAGTTTCAGCTATTTATGTTCCATTGAGATCGTATTATTTAACATTTATATTTATTATTGATTATTGAGATGATTCAGCATACAATAGATAAATATAGGATAACGATGTCACAACTTGAATTTTAGATAAATCATTTATTGATTCTAGAATCACATTGTTTAATAGTTTTCCTCTCTAATTTAGGAATTGTAAATTTAATTTCTTATTGCTAATAGCTTTATATTAAACTGAATACAATTATAGATAAGTAATGTAGCTAACAAAATAACTTTTAATTATAGTTTTTGTTAATTTTAATTCGACATAATCATACAAGTATACTATTTCATCAGTTGCTTCCATCTCAGTAATTTAAATAGCAAACTTATTCTGATTGCCTAAATTTTGCAATTTTAAATTTTAATAACTCTTTGTGAAAGTAAACACATTTCCATAATAATTTTAAAATAAGACTCCAATCTAACCTTGAATTAATTTATTTGTTTTTTTTTTTAGATAAGCTACTGAATTTACTAGCATCAGCGAAAACAATATACAAGTTCTTATCAATCAATAGGTTATCAATGAAGATATCTTAAT